AATGTGCCATGAGTAGAATCCAGTAATGAATGAAAAACAAACCAACACAAGAACAGCAAGTATCTGTAACTTAGGAAGCATATAATTCACTATTTAACCCTACCAAATTAAGCTACCTGGGGTATAAACCAGCACAGAGTCTTGGATCTAAATAGTGACCCTACTGTAACTCCCTCATCCTACGGGAGTGAACAGATGAAAATCACACAGCAGCTCCAGTGTTTTTATTAAAAGACATGCAATGCTGTCGCTTTTTGATCACCCATTGACACCAGACTTTTTCAGGATTCCAGGCAAGGCAAACATAAAAAGGAAAAGCAAGATGTACATGTTTTGTTCCTCATACCTTTCCCTCTCTTCCCAAACAAGTACTGTCAGGTCAGTTAGATACCTCAATGCTTATTAATTAATCAAACCTCAGTTGTGCACAAATCCCAAGAACAGGATTCAACAGGATTCATCCCCAAAGGAGGATTTACCTTTACTTCAGAGAAAGATACGTTGCCTTAGTGCTCCCAAGTGTCAGAAAGAACATGTGGCACAACAGGACTGGATTCCTAGAATTTCTGGTGGACATAGCTTCATGGACACCTCATTTCCCCTTCAAGCTGCCTACATTTAGTCTCATGTACAGAAGATTAAAAATACTAATTTCCTACATTCCCACATACTTTACAATTCTGCATTTTCTAGCGGGAACTACAAAATTATTTTACATAACCTCACAAGGAATCTGCTAGCAGCAAGGAAGCCAAACCAAATTAGGAAATACATTTCCACAAAGAGCATTCCATCAAAACACAGCAAATATGGAAATTTCGAACAGCTCAGCATGTTGCTACATTGCCATTTGCCCATAAATTCCAATAATACATAGCTCTGGGATCCCATTAGCATCCTAGAGAGTGAATAACAAGTGAGCTATAAATCTTAAGCCCTATAATCACAGTCAGAGCTACCTATCCCCAATCTCTGAATCCAAAAATATTTTTTAAAATTGCATTAGCTATTTTTATTTTAATTTGTGCCAAAATAAGCAACTCTGAAGTGAATGACACCTTTTATCAACTTCAGCTCTAACCCTGTCATCTATCACCACTCTCTCTAAATAAGACATCCAGGTAGGGAAAAAAAATAATTAAAAATCTCAATTTCAGGATCTGTTATTACAGTAGCAACATCACAACTAGATATAGAGGACTAAGCACTTTGTGCTTCCTTCCTTCCCAGGAGGAATATTTCTACCTCTTACTATTCTTGTATTCCCCCCCCATTCCATATAGTCCTGATTGTCCCTTCAGAATACATCCATAATTTGTTGCAGATGCTCCTCTGTAGGTATTGATTAAAATAATAACAACAGCCATCTTTCTTCCTGACCCAGGTACCACTGAGGCACCCAAGGTCAGTATCAACACAAGCCAGAATTTAGCAAGACATGACAGTGGTAACATTCACAAGAAAACAAGATCTTGCTTTAGTCAGTCTCCTGCTGCTTTACATTCCTAATCTGAAGGCAAATGCCACTAGCTTAATATGCCTTCAGGTAACTAATAGCTGCCTTCATTTTATTATCCTAACAAGACTGTGAAAAAAAAATCAATTAAAAAAATCCATGTCTCTAAAAAGATTACTTCGGAACAAGCTCCGAGAATTACATAAACCTTTCCTTACGCTATGATGTCAGGCATAACTGGAAAGCCAGAAGAAATGGGAAACGTAAGCCTGAAGAACTAAATGCAAGTGAAGCAGAACTACACCGTCTCCCCTTCAGCCTCTATTCTATTTCTCTTTCTTAGATTCGGAAAGCTGTAGTAGAACTCTGTTCCTGTACAGACATCCTGTAAGTATTCAAATGTAAAACTTCTCAGACAGTGTAACAAGTCTTCAACCTGAGGCATGGGCTTACATATATGGCAATGGAAATTAGAATTTGCTATACTTGCCATTATTTAAATTCTTCAGAAAGTCTGATCTGACAGTTGTCAAAATTACGTTAGGAGCACAACACTCAAAAAGGCGGGTGTTCTGCAGGCTTGTGATGGCATTTTTAAGCTTATTTTATCTGTAGGATAGGGGGTTTATGCTTATGTTGCTATTGCCTCTAGGTATTCACTTTCAGGAGAGCTAGAATCATTTACTGTACGATAAACTAGCCCTGACTTGCCAGATTTATATCTTTTTAAGTAAGGCTTGTTCTTTTAATGAAATCACACACAAAGTTATTCACATACACAATGTTTTCGGTTGCTATGTGTACTAGCATCCTTTAATAAGAATACAATTTCTAAACAAACCAAATGTAAAAGTGTATTTCTGTAAAACCATGATCAAATAGTAGTCAAGTGATGAACAACACTTCTGGACAGTTTCCCCACAAATCAGTTTCCATTTAGGGGGTTATTTCCAGACACAGTTTATGTCTGTTCATAAACCAAACCAATCGGTTACATACCTCAGAGGAAGTTATGACAGACTATGAATTAATATAATACTTACCTCTCTTACGTTACAACTTCTCTTATGTTATGGTCTGGGCTTGAGAAGGTTTTTAAAGATGAAGTTTTCAATTAAATGTAGCTTGAGTTCTCCAGCATCTGAGAGACTAACTGCTAAACGTCCTTACTACATAGCTTACAAACATTTTAACACTAGTGCAATAATGTACAAGTTGATTGTTATTGCTCTAACATAAGAAAGGGCATATGGTTCCTGTCAGACTATTCTCTTTATTTCATTCCTACAGCTGTTTCGGAAGCAAATGGAAATTTTAGGTAGACCTCTCAAAACTTTAATTGGTTTCTGTATGCATAGCTATTTATGCTAAAAGCTCTCATTTAAACAAATACCTTAGTGCAGTTAGCACAATGCAAAAGCAATTGAGAGTCATTCACCATTTGTTTTTCCTTTCATTATATGACTACTCAGTGATCCTAGGCACAAATGGAGCAGTGCTGCGAGACACGCTATGACAGCATACAAAATGTTAGTGCCTGGTCCTGAAGGACTTTCATTCAAAAAAAGATTAAAACCTTCTGTAATAGTTTCCCTGCAGGCCTGATGAAAAAGCCACATTTAATATTACTGCAAAAGTTCACAGAGGCTCCAACCAGTGCACAATAAAACTAGATGCTGTGCTAAGTAACAACACTTGCCTCAACTTTCCTTGCTCTTAAGTTGGGTCCCCATTCTTAGCAGGAGCAGAGCCCACGATCAGATGGGCAGCCTGGGGCTAGTTAAAGAAAACATTCATTTTCCTCAGCTCTCTGACAGCTTTTAAACAAACAGTTGTTTAAAACTGCTTCCAACTCTGGAACATTAGAAATAGTCTCAGTAAAAACAGATCTGTAAGGCACAGAAGGCTGCCGGCAGTGAGAAACAAGTTAAATCAACGAAATTTACTACCTCTCCATCTAGTGGAAGCCAACACGTCTCTGCCGACTGTACCAAATATATGCAAATATGTTCTTTTCCAACAAAATATTTATTTCTTCACATCTGGAAAGATTATAGCGTTGTCCCCATCCCTACCAGCAAATAAAAGCAGCAGCAGCCTGGTAGTGTAGGCAGAGCAGATTCATGCCTGGACCACCAGCTTATGGACTCCTGCAATTTCCTCCCAATTTATGCTTCCAGTTTTCGATCACCAAACATAGCAATGCATGCCTGAATGTGCAGACAGCCTAATTCAATTGCTCTGGCAAACACAAATCACTTCTTGACCGTGCACGGGTTGTAATCTTATGGCCCACTGCTAGACCCATAGAACATGCATGCATCCCAAAACAGAGCTGTACATACACAATGGGCTCATCCAAACATGTTGCTCTACAGTCCATAAATCACCTTTATCTAGAGTAAAGCCTGCTTGCTATTGCTCCCAACACCACTCTACAGTGACGTTTGGAAACACAGAGGGGCCTCACGTCTTAGTGTATAATCAAGTTTCTAGGAATCTGAGAATGTCCAGCAAGATTCTGGGTGCACTTGTCATTAGCACATATCTAGCAAGCCAATAAATCCTATGAAAACACATCTGTGCCCAGGCAGTAGTACTAATAGCCAGAAGGAACAAGTGTGCTTCACATTTCTATTAGTAATGTATCATCATGCTGTAAATATTAACTTTGCTGTAGTTTAGACAGCTAAATGCAAATTAATGGAAAGCTTATGGGAACATAAAGAGACTATGCTCTTAATGATCTTCTTAATACTACCTTTCAGCATGCCAGTGGGAATTATGGAGAGATGCATTGTGAGATGTTATTTCTAATGCCATTAGAGCCTTAAGATACTCTGATAAAAGTATAAGATGACATAAGTATGCATAAGGAGGATTTTAGTGACTTTTTTAATAACTTCTTAATCATAGAAGTGTTTCTAATACAATTGTTTCCAGCATGTAATTTAAATTGAAAGCTAATGTTTAACAGGAATAGATGCAATGAACCAGTTTTAGTAGGATTTCTTATTGGAATGCCTCAGTTTTGCCAATTAGCAGAAGCTAGCATTTTAATATTATGCACTGCCACGGTAGAAGATGAAAGCTCTGAATGGTTAGAAGACAAATAGCACTGCTTCTTTGTTCAGCCCTGTTTTGTGACAGAAACCAAACACAATTTCTAATATACGTCACTTTAAAGCGTTGAGGGTGAAGACAGAGAGAAAACTCCCATTTATAAGTCAGCAGGGGAAAAGCAGCTGAGAACCTTTATATGGAGACAAAATACGTATCATAGCTACAGGGAAACCATTCTGTTTTTGCAAAAGAGACAATTGCTCAAGACAAGGTTGGGATAGATTGTCTCTAAATCAATGAAATGCTTCCCCTTCAAGCAAAGGAACTTCTAAATGAAAATGCAACAATCTAGTAAAGCTCCACCAGATAATATGCAAGTCCAAAATGGTAGCCCCTGAGATTATCTAGACAGACTTCATGAGTTTAGACCTGCTCTGTGCAAGAGTTTTGCAACAAGATCCAGCTTTCACATCACACCAACATGACGCAAGACGTGCTCTGTGTCACCAGCAGTAAACTCTATGGCTACAAAAAGGCCTCAGGTAACCTATAGATTTCCTCACAATGACATTATAGATACAGTTAATTAGCTGAAAAGAGAAAATCTTGGGTCATTTGTGTCTCTTCTTGAGGGGTGAGGCTACTTAGAACTATGCAGGGAAAAAAAAAAAGCAAGCTCTCTCATTTGCATTGATTGACGGTGGATATAGGGCGATATACCACCAGCCTTTTAAGTCACAAATTCCAGGTTCAGGCAGGCCTGTGGAGCAAACAAGTCCTACAGTCAAAAACTCCCAGTGGTACTGACCAGTCTGTCAGCTATGCTGCCTGCACCTCTTCTGAAAAGCAAAGTTTCAAACACCTCCATCTCAGGCATTAGAAAGAAATCCATAAGCACTCATTCAATACACCTGGGTATCGCCAGACATGCGCATCAAGGAGACAGACAGAACATTGTTCACGGACACCAGGAAACAAGTGGAAAAAGCACCATCTCAGAAACATGAATACCAAAGCTATACAGCACCCACTGTGCTCCCAGAGGCACGCACAGACTTTGCTACATCTTTTTTCAGGGAGGGAAAACTTTAACTTGTGGCGCAAGCCATCAAAGCTCTCAGCCTTTTTCCAAGGAACCAATGAACATTTCCCTTTGTTCCATCTAATCTCTGTCTGCAAACAACACCTTCCGACACCAGCGCTGCCATAAAATCCTGCCAGACTGTGCAAACTGGAGCCCCAGTCAGGATTTAAGCACAAGAAAAAAAAAAAAAAAAAACCAACAAAAACAAAACCCAAAAAACCCACTTCCTTCAGGGTGCTCAAGGCCTCACTGCAGCACTGCTCACGGGAGCACAGCCTTCTCAGCTCTCACACCCCTTGCTGAACACCACTGAAAAGCAAACAGGGCTTTCCCCGCTCACAGCACAGACCATGAACATAACTTTCTGCTCCCACCTGGGCTCCTCCAGCTCCCTGTTTCCTCCTTCAGTTCACAAGGATCTCATGATTTTCTCACAGCCAAATCCTGACACGACAGTGAGTTGTTCTCCTCTTGCAGATCTTTCCTGCCCTGCTGCAGCCACAGGTTCCTCACATCCCCAGGCCCAGCTGAGGGCTAATTAGGTGCTCAGGCTCCATTAAGCCTCCTTCCTGCTAACGCAGGGTTATCCCTCTGCACTGGGTCAGTCCCACAACAGCTTCCCATCCCAAGGGTGAAAAGAGGGCAAACTTCAACCCCTTTTGCGTACAGAAGACATTCAGGAGATTTTGGGTTGCTTTTTACTCTGAACAAGGCAGAAAACAATCTGCTTTCCACCATTACAAAGATTTGCAGCAGTTTCAGAGAAACAGTTGGTTTGCTTTGAGATGGACCTATATGCTTTAAAAACCTACAGGAATAAAATGCTTGCTCCAGAGTGTAAACAGTTTGGTTGATCAGCTGAGATCAAAGAGACTCTATTCAAACTGGTTTTGACCTCTGTCCCTCAAGATTTCAAATGAGTGCCCCAGTCACTAGGGTATGCTCGCACACGTGTATCCGCTTTTGACTGGGAACGTGATTTACGCTGGAGAAGTTTTCGGTGAATGATTATGTTCTTGTAGAAACCATTCAGTTACCAAACTAGCACTTTCTACAAAAAAACAAACCAAACCACTTCCCTTGTCCACAAAACATGGAGATTATTGCCTTTAATACAGCAAAACTGAACATGAAGTGCTCTTGCCACCATGCTTCATCAGGTTGAAAACGGCAGGCAGGAGGTGCTCCTCGACCTGGTGTAAAAGTACTCAACTGAATGGCTCAATTTTTAATTTTTGCATGTAAAGAGAGTAATGACCACAGCCTGGTGGTTAGATCTTCACAAGGGTGGACACATGGAATTCAGTCTATCTTTTGGCAACTATCCTCTATGAATTATTTGCAAGAACCAGAACCCCCCACTTTCCTTTTCTGTGGGAGTTCTCTCACCAGCAAGTGACACGCTCACTCTTCCTGATCCAAAGCATATTTAATTATTCCATGCAAAACTTCACTAAAGGGAACACAGTACGTGGAATAGTAAAACACTTTATACCCTGGCAATGAGGGCACTGCCTTTCGAATTCCTGCAAGCAGTGAATGGAATGAACTTTGTGTACCTGCTGTCCGCATGAATGCTCTAATCATTAAGCTCTTGGATAAACAGGGGAGGGTATAGGCCACTCTTCCCTTTTTACCAGCTTAAGATAACAAAACGTTCCTATCTCAACTTCATTTTAAACACAAACAAAAAAATACCCACAGCATGTCAACCCACCAAGCGGCAAAACATTTTCTCTACCTTTTCTCTACCTGACCCTTCAGGTCAGAGTGTAGGAATGGGTCACTGTCACACAGGGTCACCTGGATACCCACACCCTCTGCATATCCACCCCTTCCAGAGGCACTCACCCTTAGGCCACCCACTTCTCTTTCTGGACTGATATCCCTTTTACACAGCTGAGTATGAGTCTGGCACCCACAGGCTGTTTTATTAAGTATTATGTCTGTTCTCCCAGGCCTACAGAGTACCCATTTCTCCTGTTTCCTCTCCTAAAAAGTACCACTACCTGTTCCTGAGATAGCTGTGTATTGCATGGAGCCTGTGCTCGTTAAGTCCAGAATAATAGCTGAATTAATTTCATCTGTGAACCTCAGTGGAACCTACACAGAGAGAGGCCCAGAGCTCTCCAGCACCACCCAGTTGGAGACACCCCTAGGAACGACACATACTACGTGGGAACTTTCATTATCAGAAAAGCAGGCACCAGTGGATTATAGATCCTTCAACGCAAAATTGCAGCAGAGTGTAAATTTTAACCTCACATACACAATTACCACTTAAATCCATTTGCGGATCTAACTTTTAGGACATTTTAAAAAATACAAAAACTAAGCTTATTGCTACTTTTCTCTTTCCCATCTAACCTGGGAATTAAGAGAGCCAACCAGGTTACAAGGCTACAACCCACAGTTTGAAAATAAAAAAGACGGAAGGCCAGTTTGCTTAACATGTACCCACTTGAATGAACCCCAAGTTAGGTGGGCATTTATCCTTAAAGTACACCTGACAACGGGGCAACATGATGCTGAAATGCTCAAAGGCAAAACTGTTCTGGGATAATCGGTTTATGCACATGCACAGAGTGTGCCATTCATTGTATGCCCAATACAAACCCCTTTTCTGTACTAAAAGACAGAAGGGCTCTGGAGGTTTACTGGTCATGAATAAACAGTCTTGCTCTGTATCACAATATAAGCTAGCAAATGTATCATGAAGCCATGCCAATGCGTTACAGTGGAAGACAAAATAAAAAACATACAAAGGTACCTCTTTAAAACAATGCAGACTATAAATCCATGGGATAGCTCCTTCCTAGATGCTGAAAATATGGGCTACATGCTAGTTTCAAATCTGTGCAGCAGGCTCCTTGACTAACATTTGGCTCTCAATAAAGAGATTACTGTAGGATTAAGCCTTACCTTGGGAGGTAGAGAAGAAACAAATCTCTAATTATCTCTGCTCTTGTACTCTGGCCATGATTTCTTTTTCTCAGGGGAAAAATAAGCTTTGTATTGTCTGAAGTTTAATGTGTGTATTCTTTCAGTTAGTTTTAATATATTTTAAAGTATTAATAAGGCAACATGTAACTTTTATTTTCTAATTGTTACATGTACTTTTTAATAGGAATATTTTCGTAATTGTTCTTGCAACATATACTCATGTTCATGCTGAAAAGCCCTCTTTTAAATATTTTACTCTATAACCTGAAAATGCCTTTTATGTGTGACCCAAACCACTTGAGCCACCAGAGAAAGAATTTTGGATTTGCAATCAAACGGTTTGCTTTTTGTTACTATATAACTAAACTATTGACAAATATTTGCAAGGCAAACTCTCTTTGTTAATGACTAAACACCATCAAGAACAGAAATAACCTTCCTCATTTAGAGAGGAATGCCAACCAAGGGACAGAATTTACTATCTTCTTCTTCCTCCTAGGGGCAAATTTGAAGTTGGAAGAAAAATAACTGAGGAAAAAACCAAAGAAGTCTTGATCTAGAAAAATACAATCATGGCTCTGCTGAGTGGAGGGAAAAGGGAAGGAAACTGAAAGACCTGCTTTGTAATAATGTGAGAGAAAACATAACTCAGTATGTGACTCGGAGGGAGAGAATGAGAAGTTAATGGCAGACAGGAACTGCAGTTTAAAATAACTTTAGAAAAGCACGTGAGATGGTGCTTCTGGTGAATTTGGTGAAGAGGAAAGAGAAAGATGAATGCAGGGAAGAAAAGATGTATAGGAATGAGGGAGACTGACAAGACGTCGCAGGGAGGTACGGGAAGAGAGTAAGGAAAAAGGATGAGAAAGATGTGACAGAGAAACATGGATTGTTGCATGAGAAGGAAAACCACCATAAGCACTGAAGTTGCACATGCAGAATTTAAAATCACCAGGACAATTCACTTAGCGACACTAAAGAAATAGGAGCTAGAAAAGGAAAAAAAACCATGAAAAACAAAGAAACCCCTAAATTATCTGTCATTTTCTCATTTGTACTAAACCTAATGTTAATTACACACGCTTCTATTTGATTTAGAGGAAGTCAGGAAAGCTCTACAAAATAGTTTTTTCCCTGAAAAATGAAGTGTCCAAATCACAATTTTCCTGAAATGTTTCTATTCTGTTAGGAAATGTAGAACAAAATACGTTACTCTCAGTTAAACTGAACTGATGTTAAGTTTGCCTAACCAATCAAAACCCCTCATTTGGGGTTAATCTGTAACTAAACTTTTCCTGTGTGAATTGTCGCAGGGTTTCTGGGGAGTTATTGTTCCACTGCCACATTCTATTCTATGGATTAACTTTCCCAAGGAGGACTGCAGCTTCCCATCTGCCAAAACTGTTATATTATACACTGCTTGCAGGAAAGCCGGTATGTCACAGGAGACATCGCCTAAACAGACACCTAGTCTAGAGATGGAAATGGGAATAAGGCACAGAACTGGTTCTTTCA